CATTGGTTTATGCATCGATTTTGCGACTCATGTTGGTTATAGAATCTATCGCAGCAAGTGCCGGAATCCCGATGAACGTATTAGAGATGCATTGGGAGCTGTTGGTTGGCCGGTGGTGCAAGGCGGTACTTCAACATTTTTAGCTATTATTGTAATGATGCTGGTACCATCGAATGTAGTGCGCATGTTTGCGCGTACATCCATCCTTGTTGTTCTTACGGGTCTATTTCACGGAATTGTTTTGTTACCTGTCATCATCAGGACATTTACTTCTTATCCCACTTGTAAAAAGAATTTTTGAATAAAGGAGATCCTTAAAACGGTGACAAATGAAAGTATAAGAAGTTGAGTACTATAAACAAATTGAGAGAATCAACCAAGTGGTTGCAAATGTTAACTTTCATATGGAAGAGGCATAATTAAAGGAATCAGATCGTATCCCACCGCTCGTGGTTTTATTTCTGCTACTCGTTTTCATCTAATATCACAGTATTGGAGTCCTGGAGGTCCACCGTCAGAAAAAAAAAATTTTGTTATGTTTGTTTGCTATAATCAACACAAAATAATTTTGATCATCTGTAACAGGAATTTGTATCAAAGAAAGACAGTTGGATTCTAATACCGACGACCATAATATATTCTCGAAAGATTGTCTAGAGCATAGTGATTTTTTGGTTACAAAACGAATGAAGTTCTAGATATCTAGAACAGTCTATAGCTTTTTGACAGTAAACCAAACATTTCGAAAAGTTCTTGGAACCTTCTAATTTAACCCGCTACATGCTGCAATTATACCCAGAACATCATTTTATATCTAAGATTTTTAGTTCTCTTTCAGAAGCAACTGAATAATTTTTTGTTGATCTTGGTAGCTATCGGAATAACATAACAAGGAGAACCAACTGGAAAATCCGAATCCCGGAAGAAATGACAAAAATCAAACCGCAATCAATGAAGAGTTCAACAAAAAACAAACAGAAAACGAATACAGTAATCTCCATTTTTAATAACACTTCCGGTTTAGTACATCTGTTTAAGTGTAATAACTCGAGGAGTAAAAAGCAATTAAAATATTCACAGGAAAACATGAAGCATAATACGAAAATTAACAAAACGTATAATTATTTGTTACTAATTCATTGACTTGACTTCAGCATATATGAAATTACTTTTCTTCCACAACAAAGTATTACAAATATGTGAAAAGTGTCCACCTAATCTTTGTAACTTAATAAAGAAAGATATGTTTTTACTCCTCCAAATATTTATTCCGTGAATAAAGAATGAATATCGCCAGTGTCAACTGATTGACGTCACCAGAATTCAAAAGCCTAAAATTCCAGTACCAATATTTCATCAAACAAAACAGACAGGATTACTCAATATTAGACAGATTAAATATTTCATCATCCATTGATGTCCAATTCCAACCATTCATTAGTTTCCACTTATGCAAATGTTGTGCCAACCCAACTTATAAAACTTGTCTCATCCTCTCAAATATCAAACATCGTTCCTTATGTTAAAATGTTTTTTCACAATGGTAAAAATAGCTGCAGTTGCATGACAGAAAGCAATAATTAATTACCAAATTTTAAGTGATCTGTCCATCTGATGAAGTTGATCAGTGATACTATCAGTAGGCATATAACATGTGAATTTATTAAATGCCAAATTAAATGCTTGAAAAATAATCAGAATCTCATTCTTCAAATGTTAGTCGTATACTGTGAAAACGAAAAATTACAACGAATATGTAACGCATAGGAAAAAGGGAGGTCAACCTTCACTTTAGTGCACCGTTGTGGACGAACATTCGGTCCTGAATCATCATTTCGCAATCACAAGCAAAGGCATCATTCTCATCCTTAAGTGTGAGGATTGTGCAGTTCTTCTCCAGTAGGTATACACTGCGGAAGTACAAGAAGAGCTGCCAAACAGAATTTCGTTAGTTTGCACATTTAGCGAAATTTTGAAATGGAAAGCGCGTGAAAGAAAGCAAACATGGAAAATTTGTGACCGCTGAGTGACAATACAAAAGAAAATTCACAATTAAACTTTTTGTTGCAACTACACGCGAAAATAACTAAACAGCTTTTTGTGATCGAAATTATTTGAAATGGGATTTGGTAAGATTCATGGGAGTGATATTTTTATGGTTTATTAGATTGTCGGAAAAGCGGAAAAAATATTTATTACACATTAAATGTTTAGAATAATGTTAAAGATTCATTTCTATGAACCAATTCGTTATTCCTTTGTTATTTCTCATTTTTGAAACAGCGAATCCTTTATCTAAACCTCAAATAGTAAATATACATCTGTCTTCATTATAAATGTTAATTTGCTAAGCTAACCCACTTCCTATATCTTTAAAAATCTTCTCTAATTAGTTGATAAAATAGACACGATCGGTGGCAGTCTTCTCAACCTCCTATTCAATAATACCATTTATTCCTCCGCTGTTTCGATTATTCAACTGCATATTGTCTCGACGCATTTATAAAGAAAATGAACAATATCTGGGTTGGTCTTGCTAGCAGATAAAGAAATAACGAATAACAAATTCAAAGTAAGTCAAATGAACTTAACTAACCCAATCATCAACTCTTCTGACCAAAAAGTTACTTGAAATTTATGGTAGATGTTGACCAATTTGCTTAAAAGGTGTTGGCAATGCTAACAGTAATCCTTCAAAGATACATCAACAAACTTTGTAAATATCGATAGAGAAATGCTGTATTGCTCTCTTGGCTAAATTCATAGATTTTCTAATTCGTGAAAGATATGCATTCCACCTGCTAAGCCATACTGCGACTGTTCATTTATTGTAGCTGAACAAAGCAGCATCTCAGAAATTTTTGTGGTCAGTTTATGATCTGATTTTATTCTCATAGTTGTTTATTACTAATTTATCATGTTTATCACTGCTTTAAAAAAAAGTAAATTGACCCTTGAGAAATAAATGTAGCAGAATTTCCGACGACTTCAGATCTCCTTAAAAGCAATTTATTAAATTCATAATACATTAAAAATTTTTCCTTCCATAATAAGATATCATTCATCAGTATTCACCTATATTTACGACTCAGCAAAAACCTGAATTTGAAAGACAAAATTTCTCTTTAAAATATCTGTTCAGTTAAACGATAAATTTTCGCTTAGACGAAAAAACTTTTCCTAATTTTCCGACATGGGAAAATTAAAAAAAATAATAAATCGCGAAGACTTCAAATCTTTTTAAAAAGAGTTTATCTACGAAGGGAATGAAGGGAAAATGATTGAGATAAGCTATATAATAAGAGAAATTTCGCTCAGCATTTATTATTCTAGAAATTGATAGAAAAGCCTAGCACTTGATATCATTGTAAAAATCCTGCAGTAATTTAAGCAAGGAAATAATTTAAATTATATTAGATTCTGTTTTAAATAAGTGCTAGTACGATTCTGAAAATTGCAGTTCATGAAAAAAAAAATTTTTTTTTTTTGAACACAATTGACATTTTAACTTGTAGTGCATATGATCTGCTCAGATCCTGACATTGTCATTTGACAACAGAAACAAAAAAAAAACTTTTAAAATTTCATTTTGGATTAAAATTTAAACGGGGAAATTGACAAAAGTGATTAGTAACAATTTCAAGTTATTTTTGACACTGAAATTAATTTTTATTATAAATTTAAATCTGGATCGCTATGACAATCCTACAAGGAAATAAATGTTAATTTTGTTAAATTATATTTTAATTAAGTGCAAATCTTCATTTAAAATATCTTGAACTTAACTGACTATCTTATCAATTACTTAATTGATTATTTAACTGATTAATGAATTGAAATTTTCTAATAAACATTTTAGTTTATTAATGAATGAAATGGATAGTATTCACATAATTGAATCTGATCCGATTTATCACACTCTATCAACACGATACAAATAAAGAACGAAGAACAAAATGCATTCAAAATTCTCATATTTGCAATAAGTATAGCCTGACGACTTTTAACACCCATTTTAGCGCCAGCATGTACGTCACATATTGGACAAATAGCAATTGAAATGCAAAACTTTTGACATTTTCATATTCAGAAAGGAAGAACGGAAGTTGACGGTTCGTCCCAAAAATTCAACAAATATTCTTTCTTTCACAGCGAGCAAAATGACTGCAACATTGCGACAACCGCTGCGAATATACTGGAAACCAGTTCTCCTTCCTAGAAACTGAACAACTCTCTTTTCTATTATTGAGGTCAACGTCGTTGATCCCTTCCTGTTCTTCCTCTAACTTCACCATCTACTCCTGTTTCTGTTACAGTAACCATTCTGCGTCTTTTGCATGCAGAAGGATGGATTGGTCTTACATTCGACATGCAATTTTAATCAGGCCACCTTGTTTAGTAGTCGAAGCTCAAAGTATCAGTCAAATTTGCTAGTTACTCTTATCCTTTGCTATCAAATTTAGAGCTGATGGCCAGTAACATGGGTAGTTTGAATCGATGTATTGTAATATAATGAGATTATATGGTTAAATTAAGCAGGACGATTTAATGAAGAGTAGTGTGCATATTAATAGCTTTCAAAAATTCCATATACTGGTCATAATCAAGGAGAATGTATTTCAATCTTTGTTTGGATTTCAAGCAGTTGGAAGCTTTGTTAAGGACAGATCTTAATGATGATTGATGCAGTTCAAATCATGTTTGAAGTTATTACGAATCACTGCAAGTGACAAAATTTTAGAACAGAGTCGCTGGTAGCACATTCAATGTTTGTGAAAAAGAGAAATCTCACAAAGTCTCTGTGTCACTTGAACCAATGTTATGGATGAATATAAAGTAATGATTTGAACATAATCCGATATGCATTTCGTATGTCTAATTGATTCTAAGATATAGGCAATGAAACAACATTTCTAAGGTGGAAAGCTGCCACTAATAAAAGTAGAAAAATGCGCAGTTTTTTATTCACCAGCATTTTATGAGTTTGATGTATGTACTATTCACATATTGTCCCATTCATCGTAAGCTGACGTAACTGCGGACGCCATTTCCGCACTTCCTCCTTTACCTTTCTTGATTATGGTACCCTGTAATTTCATATATAAGATCCATCATCTTGTTGCAATATTGCTGTCAATACAACTATCACCAAATGATGCGTTTGGTTCAAATTCTATTCTACTAGTTCCGGGTTTGTAATTTCAGGAATCAATAAAACCACCTGTTCACGATCAAACTGCCACGTTTCGTAGTCACGGAGGGCAATTTGTACATAACTTGTCACATAATGCTGTTCTTCCGTACGCTGGTACTTTTGCAAAACATCAAGTGCTAAATTTTTTAGTTCAACCATATTCAGTGCTTCACATTCAGCTACCAATCTAAATTTACAAATGTTTGGTAATTTCAAACAGAGTGCAAAACTAATGGTTTTTTTAAAAAGACAATGTTGACCTTGTTAAACGATGTCTCGGTAAGCTTGGAAATAACAGCTTAAGACAACACAAAACAACACCACCACGTTTTTTCATGACAACATATATATAACCCGTCACAAACAATAAGTTTTATCAACATACTTTGCTAAATCATCCGGTTTTGCAGGTAACGCTAGTGATAGGACAAATTTTTCTTTCTTTAATCGCAAATATGCAAGGATATGTCGAAAAGATTTTGGATCACGATCCAGGTAATAGTTGCCTGAAATTCGGAATACTGGTGAGGCATTAGCACATACGTATAAACATATTACTCCTGTTTGAGAACTTCATATACTTGACAAATGTGAAGTTTTCGAACGGTGTTATCAAATTCAAGTTCATGCCTACCAACCTCCTTTGTCGGTAGCAATCTGTTTCACAGTACCAGGTTTAAACCATTCCGCCAATTTACTTTTTGGATCTGCCAGTAGATCGGTGCGTCGAACTGTATATCGCTTACCGCCAACGTTGACATTGAGAATGTCATCGGTGTGTCGGTTACGGGCCATTGCCGGTTCTCTACTGAAGTTGATCTGTTTAATAAAACTATTGTGTGCAATCGTTGTAATGAAGAAACGAAAAGCTGGTATAATGCCATGCAATAACCATCCCATCAGTCTATATTCTTCTGATAATGAGACGCATAATGAGCATTGTAGAATTTCTACTTACAAAAATGCAACTTTTAATTGGCAGAAAGGCTGGACTCGTTAGGTAGTGCTTGACATTACATGTAGTAAAAAACTGCATGTTGGTAGATGAAACGAGTTTTGAAATGAGTTCAATAATGAGCTCAAATAGACCAACCTCATATTTGGCGTAGAAGTCTTAGAATCACAGTTGGTATAAGAGGTTTAAGTGAAATGTTTGCATGGTTGCATAGCAGGAATAGTAGTGGACAACTCTAATCGGTGGCAATTGGTGGCATAGAGGCAGTGTGCTGACTTCTGGAGACAGCAATTCAGTGGAACAGAGTTTCTGATATTTGAGACATTGAGCCACTTGGCTGGTTGTGTCCAGGGAAGTTCGTTCAACCAAAACCAGCAAATATTTTTTGCTTAACCAATTTATTTTTGCATTGATAGTCTCTTTTAAAATTGTCTAAAAATAGTTTTTGAGAGCTTTACATTCCATGAAATATATGCCCTTAAAAGATAAATATATATGATGCATTCTCAATATGTTCCGTTTATAATATGAGCAAATTTAGTGCATAATTTTTTAGCAAAAAGTGATGGAAGACTGAAGCTGTTGTTGCCTAATGGTTAGTTGGCTACAAATTTTTGAAAGCAGGTGATTCTAGCGATTGCAAAAATAAGCTGGTATTGAATGAGAAGTCTTTGACAATAATAGGGCAATTAATAGGAAGTGGGAAACAGCTAAAGTGAACTGCCGTTGGTAGGTCCAATTCAATTATTGGTTGAAATTTGAATGCTGTTATTGTGAATTTGTGGAGTTGGCATAGTGTAACGCAGTTTCTAGCCAATATTGTCTAGATAAAATGTTGGGGACTAGCTCGCGAGAACCCAGAAAGAAATGCTAGCTTTTAAATTGTCAATCCCGACAATTTTAACCAAATTTAAACGCTGAAGAAGTATGAAAAGATAAGTGGTCTTCTCATATTTTAGGTTTGCGAAGAATATTATAAATGGATTGCTTGGATAGATTCATCACAGATTCAAACAACGACAAAAGCTCTCTCACCATATTTATGAACAATTACAACATCATCAGAGCAAGGAGAAATTGATGAAGTCGCAATGGTAGTTGGTAAACTTCCACACAATGGCTTACCCTTTTTTTTGTTTTCGGATTAGCTGTATTATAAGTGCAGCTACTACTGCAGCCAAAATAAACTTCCCAGAACAAGACACTTTTACATATAAATCTGTTTCCTGTAAAAAGAAAAGAGAAAACATGTGATGTGACTTGAAAAATACTGCCCAAATGCTGCATCTGCAACGGTAAACTGTTCCTGCGCAACAACACCTTGGACAGTTGCTGCACTTGGAGTGCAGTGCTTGATCACATCTCTACTTGATTTAGATCACTTCTGTAGTCTCTTTCTGATCACGACTTCGAAGCATCTCCATTTTCTAATCTTCCATTCCGTATTCTGCTTTTTCTGTCTTGAGGATAATTGCAACTTTTATCGCACCACCATTCATAGCTAAGAACAGCAACTGATATTGCAAGTTAATGTTGGAGTGGATGTATAATTCAGCATTTCTGTGCTAAATTATTTCACTCTATCCAAACTAACAGTAGTGCAATCTACCTTGCCATTGCTGTCGCATGTGATGATAGCAGCAGGATAGCAAGCATTGCAAATGTGTGATCGCTGCATACCAACCAACCACTCTACCATATGCTCTTTCTAGCGGTAGGTAACTCCTCCATACATTCACCAAATTCATCAAAGCATTGTGTCCGTCCCTCAGCGTGTACTTCAGAGAGCATTTCTGAATTGATTTGTTCTCCCCTTACTTTCTTCCGTTCTATAATTCTTTATCTCAATGTGTTTTCCGTCACACATCATCCGTTTTACCTTAAAGCGAAGGAGAAATTTGCAATCTTTATTGGTTGCTATCATATGAAGAATGACACAGCCTGAAGTTCTAGGTGCATCTCACGTTTCATTACACTACTTATGAAAGCACAGTGACTTGCTCAAAACATCACATTTCCCTCATTTTAAACGAATTTCTATAAATTGACTCAAAAAAAATCATTAATCTCCACTGATTGTTGTTATTTTATGCTATTGAAATGTTCACAGGTTATTGTGTTAAGCAATTCTTCTACTTAGATTTTTCGACACGCACCACATGTACCATCCCAAGGTTAAATAACTATATTTCATTTTTTGGAAACTTTTCCACAAAGTGATGAGCATTTGAGCCACAATACGTCTTTCTAAAAGATCTTAGCTGATTTCAAATTCGGGACATTTCGGATTTTTGGGCATGTACGTGCGATGAGTTCCCTCTGTTTCATCCCTTGACACATCCTCAATGACTTTGAAACTGTAATGTCTTGAAGAGAAAACTGAAAAATTCATGATGGTTGCGTGACTAGGTATTACCATTGGGTACCAGTAACATTGGCTCCCATAAACAGTAAACCTGTCTTGCCTACCCACTCACTCCAGCAATTCGGCATTCCCATCGTTCTGCTTTGAATTCCCCACCACTGTCTCGTCTTCACTGACAGCAAGGTCAATTAGCTGCACAATTGATCCGATCACTGCACTGTTATTGATTTAACACCAATACTCCTCTCCTTTTCAGATAAAATGGCTGCGTTTTGTTCCACGTATTCGATCAGCGATTCTGCTAGGCTTTCTTACTACAATTTTCTCTTCTAATGTCCCTACACTATCTAATCATGTCCTTACCGAAAGAAACTGGGTACTAAAGCCATTTGTGGATTAAAATTTTAGGCCAGAAAAAGATTTGGGAGGTACTGGATTACATGTCATGTTTTCTCTGTAGAACTTTACACTTCCTAACACAATTTAAGCAATATACTCAAACACCTAAGTAATGTAGAAGGAGAGTACCCAATTAAGGGCATCTCTGTTTCATTGCCCCACTACTTTTTCCTTTGCTTAAAAACTTTCACGGACCAATTCGTTCACTTCACTGTACGGAACTTCAATATTTCGCATCTACTAAAACTCCTTCCTTAAATTAGATTTTTCGTGTTCATGGAGAACACCACGCGGAAGGAAGTATTTTATGAAAATTATTTCTCAAAAATCTCCCATTCTGTTAAATGTGAATGTTATCTTACTTGTATTTAATAATGGGTTGAACAACTTTCTACTGCAGAAAACTCCATCCGTTCAATAAAAAGTTCAATATAAAACCATTCATGTGACGATAGACTGTCATAATTTCTCGACAAATTCATCTACTGCGTCTCTTAGTCTAGATTATCGGTAACTAAATAAGCACCTTAAATGCAAGTTGACTGTTAGTTGGTTCTGAGCTTCATGTTGCCCTGCTTGACCACAACGCAAGAACGGAGAATTTCATAACAGATGACGCTAGCTGGATTAGGTGAACTAACAACAAAATAATTTCGGAGCCCCTGGAAAAAATGTATTGCAAACAATCAGGGAATGCTGGACCTAAATATGTTTGTCAATTGGTTATATGTTGTTTATTAACATTCATAAGTAATATTTATCAATTATTTATTAATATTCATATTCAAAAAACCATAACAAACATAAATGCCAGGAAAAAGCATTCTTCCTACTTAATATATCAATAAATATCAAAACTTCAGTGAAGCATCGACAAGATCAAAAATCTGTGGTACAAATAACAGGTATCTGTTGAAAGACAAGAAAAAAGGGATGCAAAAACAAAGATCTCCTGCTGGATTTTATAGATAATCAGATAACACAACAATAAACAACACCGGGAATATAAGTAAAAAATACTTATCACAATTTGACGCAGAACGTTTTTTTTTTCGTTCTCCCGTGTATAACTATACACAATCCTTCAATCATTCGACGCACAAGTTCTTTATATATATCTGAATTTCACGTAATGTCAACCGTTCACTCCGAATCATACCAACTTTGAAAATACTGTCTTCAAAAAAGTAGTATAAAACGGTCGGCAAACACCTAAGTATCGTTATCATCGTCGCTTAGTGTTTTTCGTATCTAAGCAATCCGATTCTTCTGGTAATTCATTTAGATATTGTTCACGCAAAGCTTCTATTGCTTTACACCATTCCAGTGCATTTCGCTCCGGATCAAATAAATAATAAGTACGACTTGGCTGAAAACATTACGAGTCAAAGTGTTTACAATATTAACTTCCAACTCATGAAGGTTATTATTCGTTTCCTTCACTAAAAAAAAAGGAAAAACAAACTGTATGCACGAAGAAAGTTCGAAAATTCTTTGCTTCAACTCGCAACTTCCGGCAGAACGGTATTTTGCCTTTTAGTTCCATACTTATGGGATCCACATAAAATATGTGTGGTCCTTCAGTCAGTAAAAACATTCTTCTTCTAGCAAACAATCCCTAAACGAAGTTTCAACACACAAATACATGAAATATTCTATCCTAATTTATTTGTTCTTCTATTTCTTCAATAATTCCTTAAATTTAAACTAAGAGGTCAAGAGTCATTTCCAATTCCAAATCACGTATCAGGGAATTAATAAGTAGAAACAATAACCGCATACGAAGGTACTCCCAATACATATGATCAATTCAAAACGTGGTGACATGCGACATGATCAAACGTAAACATTTGTGCATGAAAATGATGACGGGCAACAGCACAATGAAAAAAACTATGCAGTAGAATCACATAGAATCACAAACCCCACTTTTCCCCCTACCAGAAGACAAAGATAACGCAATTACTTCAGTACAGTTAAAACCAACCTTTTTTTTATCCAATAAACCACTTTTAATGATCAAATTGCCTTCCACAAAACGATGGTATTTATGTTCTTTTCGCTGAATGTTGAGTTTTTTTTCACGCAATCCAGCTAACTCGGGTTCTTCTGTTTCCAAATTACCTTTATTTTGACTAAAAAACTTTCATAATTGTTGAAAACTCATATCTTCGTCCGTCAATAAAAACAACAAACCTGGGGGAACAGAAGTCTTTTAGAGAAAGTCCTAGCAAGCGAGTTACTGCTGCATCATCAAGACCGGGTTCTATATCATCTGGAAAATGGTAATCGCTATGAAAAGCTGGTTCTCCACAACTGGCGGGCAAATATGGCTTAAAAGGCGGTGGCGTTTTTGTGATCAAATTGTCCCAATCAACTGTGGCAAAATATGGATGCGAACGAACAGCTTCACTACCACCTGTCTCTTCAGAACCAAGACGTTTATTAGGATCGGACACCTGGAACAAATACAGAATAATATGCTTATCGAAAGGGTGGAAGCAATGATTTATAAATTAAGAAAAATAAATCTGGTTATCAAAATATACCAAGAATTTTCGAACGAGATCTTTGGAAAGGTCAGGGAACCCTTCAGGGAAATTGTAATCCAGCTTCTGAATCTTTTGAAAAGTATGGTAATCATTAATAGCACGAAATGGTGGTAATCCAGAAACCATTTGAAAAATTATTGCACCCAAAGCCCAGTAGTCACATCTGCAAAATATCAAAAACTGAGGATCATAATCCTTGGTTGAGTCATTTCATTCAAGCACAATGAAACTAACGATGGGCCAACTTCTCCATCCACCAGCACTTCTGGTGAAAGATACTGAGCAGTGCCAACGAACGTTGATCGACTACGATAGTGTTCTTCCTGAAGAGCACTTTTCGTATCTGTTTCATCTGTAATTTCAAAACCAGTGAAGAAATTATGTTAAACAGTTTCCTATTCAGCATGTACTTAATATTTAACTTACCTTTTTCTGAATCAACAAATTTCGCCGTGCCAAAATCAGATAACATTATGTGCCAATTTTCTCCAAGCAAAATATTTTCTGGTTTCAAATCCCTGTGAATAATGCCACATTTATGGAGTATGTCGATCGCGCATACAAGTTCAGCCGAATAAAACAAAGTCACCTGTAAAATTATATATCAAGGAAAGGAATGAGTGGTTTCTGTGAATCGAATCACAACATACTATGAAATCATACCATAATTTGTAAATATTTTATTTTGTTTTTGGACACATCACTAAAAAAAAAAAAATTCTGCTCACATTACATATACAGGAATGGCAACTTACATCTTCATCAAAGGAACCAAGGCGGTGCAAATATGTCAACAAATCACCATTTTTTGCATAGGTCATAGCAAAGTCTGTAAATATTTCTTGAATAAATAGCATGCAATATGTGATAAGTGATTAAACAGTAAATACTGCAAGAACTTACAAAGACGAGTGGGATCCTGGAAAGTACAATACAAGGATACGAAATATGGATGTCCGCCATGCAAATAAGTCAACGAAGTCATTACGTCTTTCTCACGCATAACCGACACAACCTTTAAAGTAATCAACTATCTTTGATATTCATGCAAAATCTATATCATTTATCAGTACTCTGCAGTAAACTTTCGTTTGTTTTCCCATTAGTGAAAAATCCCAAACGAGTACCTTATCATGTCGTCGAATTAAGTCTTTGTTGAGCACTTTTAGAGCAAATTCCTTTCCACTGGATACCTCACGAGCACGATACACCTGTAAGCTTAGAATAGTTGCAGTATATGCGACATGTACGTTGAACATATGCTTTCCTTACCGTAGAAAAACAACCTTCGCCCAGTATTTGTAAAAAGAAGAAGTCAACGGCACTTTTCTGCACAGGCTGCATACCATTTTTTAACATTTGTATCATTACCATTTGCGAAATCGAAGACTTTTTAATCTGCAAAAATATAAAAAAATATCAAGAAATCTACCACTTTTTGAGAAAAAAAAGAATTAATAATCATTAGAATGTATAATCGCTTTTCTAAAAACAGTTTGATCGATAGGCACAAAAATAATCGTTAGCCGTACTCGTATACTATATACAGTGTTTGAATATGGTCCTAGGTAATTATTCGCTTATGTTAAGAACACGTAGCCTGAATCCGGTAGTTAAAGAGATGCATTAATAAAATTAAGAAAAGTAAAAAACCTGTCTGCCCACAGGCATATCTTTGCTGCACATCACTTTATTGTTTTCATTCGCAAAATGAACAAACACATTTGCCGTCACTGAAAATTGTCCAGGACTAAACCTTCAAACTGATTTTAATAACTTTTCTACCATAAAAGATCTGATATCCATTCAATTTTACACACATGGTACGATTTCTGCTATGATGAAAACAGCAAGCAATATGATGGTTATCTCGGAAAATTGTGTAACTCAAATCATGTGTAACATAAGATACGTGCGAACTAGACCTCGAATAATCAGGATGGAACTGCTAAGTGCTTTTCCAAGGACATTTACAAAATTTACAACATCGTTAGAAAATTGATGAGAATATTTCAACATAATAACTGCCTGAAATAAACCTATTCTCTTATCAATGTGCACTAAGTAACTATTCCCTCTTCCCAAATAATAAAATTATTTGTGTTATTGAAAAGAAGGCACATAAACAGTCCATTTATGACATCAGCACTGTTATTACAATTGTTCGGATAAACAAACCACTGGTGGATGGAGAATCACCAGCAGGTAAGTAATTGAGTGCAGCGACTACCATCAGATTACCGGAATACACAACCATCAGGAATCATCGGGTTCGGTATTCCTTCTTTGCATTTTCCTATGCTGACTTCATCCTAAAGAAATCTGAAAACTGGTTTGTTAATCATTTCTCAAGACGTCGGCTGCTCCAAATTACGATACACGCATCTACCTTTTCCCAAATTTCCCATAAGTTAACACTCCATACCAATGCATGAACACGTACGCAATCATCGCTACGGCAATGCACCGAACGTAACGAACACTCCTGTATGAGCGTTACGTTCACAAACTTCGAACAAAGCTATGCACGCCCTGAGCGCATGACTAGGAACTAATTTGGATGCTTTTTCATGCTCCACTTCAAATCCCAATATCTACCAAGTTTATCATTCAAGTTGAAAATGATGGATGGTGAATGCAAATGATTGTTGCAAATGCATCATGTGCCTACACCAAATTGGCACATTAACTCGACTAATACTATTTTGCTGCAGTCATTAATGATTAATAATTTGTCGTCTTGGTCGCGTAATCTTAACTTGCTATAAGTTAGTTTTGCGCTTTGATGGAATTTCAATCTCTTATTGTAAATCATACTTTGTTTATGCATATTGCTGGCAATATGAGGGAGATCACCCTTGTTGAAGGGGGCTTTGTGTGTTTTTACCAAGCACTATCGGTAACAGGTTTCGAAATAAAAATAGCTTAGAAAGAGAAAATATAGACATCCAGGTTGAACATGATATGATGGAAATCGTAAGAACTTAATCAATAAAGAAAAAGTAGGAAATCAACTGAAATTTTGAAGTGAATGATATATTGTTGATTAAATCATGATCATCTTTCTTTTCTTTTCCTAACTGCTATAAGGGTTTCTTTTATCAAACCAAATTTAAGCATGAATGTAGAAATGTTTTGTTTTTAAGAATAGCACACTAATCCGATGTTAATCAGTTAAGGCAAGTAACAAAAATGTTCCAATTTGACCCCTCCCCAAAATAGATTTGTTATGATATTTGCTCTTTTCTGTAGTTTAAGTAAGTGTTAGCACAGCTTATATGATCGTCTTATCTTTTCATCCGAACTATGCCAAGAATTTGTCACAAAAAAACTCCTTAATATTTGTGCCCAGTTGTAGGACTCTTCCTATTAAATTTACATGAGTTCTTGTACTTCTGAGATGAGGGATGAACTGCAATCGAACGAAATTTATGTCATGAACAGATACGTACTTAAATATTTTGATTTAGCTATTTGCTAATCGAAATGCTAATCAAATTATAATGAAATGGACAAACTGGTAGAATTTTACCGTCTGAAAGTGTCGCATAATCACAGAGAGACAGAATTTCAATACAGTTTTCACCTGCATTAACACACTAAAAACATCCATCACCCCCCTTTTATCGTTTATGCAATTTTCGACAGAGGTCTGAAAAAATGAAAGTGTTGAAAGGTCCCTCACCTATCCCTCATCTACGGTTTTCTATAATTTCTAATCATTTTATAAAGTCCTTCGTAGATTAAGGCCCTTCAATTTCAGGAGAGTTTTTAAGCCATTTACTCTTGCAAGAAAACTTTTTAAACGCTCACTATTTACATAACAAATAAGGGCTTCAAATTTAAAGTTGGAAGTCTTAAATAGAAACAAACACATTCCAGAACCATTGATAAGCAGCAGGTCCTGTTAAAAACTATAGGACCGTGTCGCTCTTCTGTATTGCATTTTTCTTCATTCAGAAAGGCCACTGAGTTGCGCTTTCGACTCCTAGCAAAAATAATTTTACTAAATTTGAACCAGTATGTACCATAATGCTATGCTTAGAAATTGAAATAAAATATTTTACAATAAACAGAAATTATCATCAGCAATTGTCATATATCATTTGTGCAGGAATAAATAACTTCGACTCAATTTTTTTTTTTTTTTTTTTTGGGAAGTATTCCAGGCAGGCCCGTTTGATCGCTAACTAGAGAGATGTATATGATACAAAGTAAAGAATAGAGAGAATTATGGTAAAAGTAGTCCAAAGCAATAAGGAAAAAGAAGAGTTGTTGAAATATGCAAAAAAATTTTATTTGGTAAATAATTAATACATCACTACGAGATAAATAAGAAATGCAGTAAATCTCAAGTATTATGATACTGCAACTCAAAAACATGGCCACCTTCAATTTTAAAGAGTATTTATGTTCTTCTTCAAATGAAATAACTCAAAAATGCTCCTTTACAATTCAGTGTTTTTTTTTTTCAGTGCACTATACGGGAAAAACATTTCGTTATAAGTGGTATATTCACTTATTTCGGTATAAACTACAAATAGTAGTTTGACCTACTTATACATAAAAACAGTACTTGAAATTCTAGGAATTTTATTACTCTGTGCAAATTTTCCGATTTATTTCAAATATTACAACGTTATATTTTTAGTTATAAGTTGCTATAATTTGATAAGTGCTGCTTTCGAAGAAATAGGCGTAGCATAATATCGAATAAAAAAGTCACAGATGCCTGATTCAAATGATATATTCCTCCCATTGTACATTACCTTTTCTTTAATCCACTTAAGAAATACAAGGATGTCGCAGAAAAGAGAGTTATTTTAATGATCTTTCGGAAATGATTAATCTCTGAGGAATCAGTGGAACAGCTCAATTTTTTTTCATCCTGAATCACCATTCATGTAAATATAGGCTGAAAGGAGAGAGACCTGAGATTTCAAGCACACCCTAATCAATCATATTTGATTGCAACTGGGAACTAGTATAACAGGATTGCAGTAATGAGACTTTCATGTTCCACTTTTTTCTATTTTCCTTATTTGGTTGAAAGAGACGAAATACTCAATTCGCGCTTCAAAGCCAACCACTCTGCGAACCAAATTAGACCACGTAATGAAGCCACGGAAAAATTTGCAAGAATAACAAGGGACGTCATGGCTGACAACAAATATTTCTTTTAATACTTAAATAAAGCAAGATCAAAACTGTGGTAAATTCCTATCACTTAAATATATTCTTTGGAACGGAATATTACAATGGAAAGGGTAAATTTCTCTGTTGTTCGGTGACCCGTTGCAGAAGTGATTCCGCACTGTGTCTCAACTCAACTTGTGTTTCACGAGTCAAAAGAAAAGATTTTACTGAGGTATATACTTCTTGAGTGAATTCACACCGTCTTATCACTTCCATATTTTTCATTATCTGCAGTATCATTGCCATTTTCTAAACAGTTTCACTTCAAATTATATCGAGAACGAGTAGAGTTAAATAGAAACAAATAGAAACAGATTTTATGAAGCCACCAGCATAATTATACCTGTGATTGGTTTGTGTCGATCAGATCCTGGCATAATATCCCATAAAGGACTTTCAAATCGTTATCATAAAAAAGAACCGAAATGAGGTCATCTGACACACAAAAAATGTTCATCAACAATTTAACTGCACGCAAATCTGAGCAATGAATCCAAGGTAAAAATAGTATGAAAAGATTGAGGATTGCATATCCAGATAATGGTCAGCGTTTTTTGGGAAATAAACAGCCAGAGTTTACAGCTGATGATTTATGTTTGGATCTAACTGTGGAACTTACCTTTATTATCAGCTCTACACCGGTTCAACTGTATTGTGAGTAATTGACCAAATGTAACTGGGGCATTTTTATGCAAAGTCTGAATAACAGTATTTTCATTTGACTCGAAATGGGAATTGAATGACAAAATAAACTGGAAAGCATCTGTGCAATCTTTTACTATCGAGACTATCTTTGTTAGAAATTCTAAATTCAAAGCATCTGAAAAAATGTTTGTAAAAATAATTTGCGAGGAATTGAAAAAGCTGCATCTTCATTCTCTTTTTGCTGGAAATATTAGTAGCTATCTCATTCCTGAAAGTTATTAGATTCAAAACGACTTGAACTTATTAAATCAAAGTGATTTAAAGTCAAAATATCGAAATAAAAGTGATCTAAAGTTATTTAAATCAAAATGATTATTTGAATGACAGGCAACACCATGAATATAAGGAAAATCTGTTCGAAAAAGTGTGAACAAATACGATAAAAAAAGGAAACTTACCATAATGTGACGTAGGAAATTTTTCACCAGTTGAAAATAATACAGAAAGCAACTGCAAAGATAATATATCAAGTTCAGTAAGTGGTAAAGAGAAATTATTTTGTAATACTAGCAAAACCGGCAACTGTCCACAAAGTAGTATTGTTATGACTGATCGGTCCAACAAGCAAAGTGAGTGGAATGTCGTTAGCAGCTCGATGCGTACTGATTTCTTTAGCTCCTAAAGCGAAGCAATGATATGATATTCCATTTAAATGAGTTTCCTCTTAATTTCTAAAACTTACTTTTGTATTAAACCGACTTATAATGAAAACCTACTATTTGGTAAAGTGAAACGAGCTGCTCAATGAAGATATAATCATCCCGACGAAAACGTTTCATGAGTACTCCAACATCAGCTTTCTTCTGTAATTTAAATTTCACGCAAACAACCCTAACCTTTTTTTTAAAAATCTTTTAAATATTTGAATAATTAAATTGAATTTGAGAGGGACTGAAATTCCTATGTAACCAAGGCCACAGACCAGTGCTGTATTATTAAATTACCATAAATCCAGAAAAGTGTTGCAAAGATTTAACCATCAAAGTTTTGTCATTCCGAATAGACCAGTCTAGCTGCAAAACATTGTTGAAATCAATATAGATAGAACATTCCTCTTCATACTACATTTCTACTTCAAATTTTATTTAAAGCTGTACAGCTTTTACAGTTAGTTGATGGGTGGAAAAATAGTAGTATTGAGAACAACAAAAAACAACTGTAACTCTATACTATGCATACCTGACCTTTATCCTCAATATAACTTGTTAAACTGACAATGACCTGTTCCAATACCCTCGCATCATGGCAATTTTCCACGTCGATTATATAGTCTTTTTCCAAAGCACTTTTTATAACACGAAGACCATATATATCGGGCAAATCTCGCAGTAAAGCACTCAAGATGATTGATACAGTATTTATACAGACCCCTATAGGAGCATCAGTCTGTTCCCGAACGACATCAACCAGCTCTCGAGCTTTTTCCTTACTGTTCAAGATCGGGACATACATGAACCACTCTAGCTCTTTTGTATTTCTAAGAAATGTTGAAATAATCTCAGAAAAGAAAAAATCCACATTATGTTCCAATTCTGTTGTACTTGAAGTCTCTCTCACAATTAATTTACCACTTTTTTTTGAAAGACATGTTCGCACTGAGCTTTGAAGATGATCATTGACCTTTACTATCTTTTTAACTTTAACATCCTATTTGCAGTCGACATTTTTGTCAAACTACAATACTTCCTGAGGAAACCGTGCAACGTCCGAAACTGATTGTGAAAAAAGATGTTCAACAGTGAATCACATTCACTATAACCAAACAACTCCAACACTCACGTCAGTTAAATGGAAGTTGAATTTAATTCTTGAAGCATATGTATATTCCTTCCTTAATAGATGGATGAAAGACAGTCGAATTGGCACAGAAGCTGTTAAAGTATTACCAAAACCTATTCATACTGCGTATCATTTCATTATCTCAGATTCTCACGCTATCACCTCATATTCGCTGTTGAAAAAGTTTTCGAAAATGATATATACATTAACACTAAGGTGTATCAAAGGCAAAAAGCATGAATTACTGACATCTGATAGCCTATTCATCACATTGTCATTCATTTACCACACACAGTCCATCGAAACAAATAAAATAAAAAAAAAAAACTCTTTACAGAAAACTGTTTTGATATGACCATAATTGACACAATGATTACAGAGGTGGAAGTGAAAATTTCCAGGTTGAAATTAATTCCAGTTGGCAGATGGTTTCTATCAAACGAAAGAAATAAGGTGTTCCAACTACGTCAAATTTCTTGCAACCAATGAAGCTATAATTAAACTAAGATATAGAATCAACGCCAGTTCAAACGGATTACTACCAGTCGTATAAGGTTAGCTCTTTTCTCATTCTCCAAACTACTAATAATGGATAAGCCTATCCATCTTGCTTTGCTCATTCACCTGTATAGTTGAAGATTCCACAATCCGAGAAAATCATTTCTATATTTTTACCAGTAGTTCGTTAAAGTGTAATGTAAAATATAATTTGCTTGAAGCTTTTGGAAATATATCTCAGCTTAATATTATTTGTTGCTATCCCATTCAAAGTTAGAAAACACTGGAGAAGTCCTACCAAAACTTATTTAAAAATACAAAAGAAAATGTTATCCCAACCTGAAAATATGGACCCCAAATTTAACTGAGTAACACTTCATTCATTAGAAACATTAAAAACCAGTAACAAATAATGAGACGTTAGTTTGGCATAAGAAATGAACAGAGAATGAGCCGGAAGGTACGTTCCAGATACCTAAAGATAGCCTCGTGCAATATACAGTCACTTTAAAGCTCCTATAAAAAACAATTAATCATGATTTATAGCTATGCTTACATTATTCCTGATAAAAAATTACAAATCGAAAATGCTATACAGAACCCAATAAAAAATAGGCAGACTAGTAGTTAAAACATGCAACAGGAACAGAACTCAAATACACAGTTGGTAAATGGATGTTGTTTGCATAAAGTATAAAAGGAAAGAAGCAAACAGAAATTTCATGACAATAAGCAATACTTTGAATTCGATAAACATTCAGCACTGCAACAGATTGGTACAATGAATGCATGGTAGGAACATAGTAGATTCTAGACGAGATTGAACGCTTGGCTAATAATGCCCTGTGTAATTCTCGAAAAATCATCTTCCGAGTCTGAATCAGAAAATGACCATACTTCGGAATATAACGGGCGTCTCCGTCTGCAAAATGCCACCATCACCTTTTATGAACATAAATTGAAACAACGCAGTGAAGTAACTATATGCAGCAAAAAAAAAAACCTTTGAAGAGTCCGCGGACTATCGCCTTCCACAATAGTGCCATCAGGCAGTTCATGTTTGTAGAAACACTTATTGCCAAATGGACAGTCATCGATATGCCCTTCTTTCACATATTTGCACTGTTTCCGTTTTGTATTCTCACGAAATCTAGCAATCAAGTCATTCTTATCTGCTTGGTCTTCGACCCAATATGTGGCTGCAATATACACACATAAGTTGGGCTTTTCTCTCCCAAAAATATGCAAAAAAGAAATATTTAGTTGAACGTTAGTCTAAATGTTCCTAAACATTGCTATTAAAAACAATCTTTTACTAAACATAAGAAAAGACTTCCTCAGCAGAGTGAGGATAACTAACCGGGAACGACGAAATCTGAATGAGTGCGACATTCAGGACAACTACGAACTGTCTTCTTCTCGAAATGGTCATTCTGATTTCGGCGCCACTGCCTAATACAGTCTAAACAAAAACAATGTCTGCAGCCTTCCAGGATTCCAAAACGACTCTTTCTTTCTCTAAAACTATACATATTCTCACGTTCACAAATGACAAACAGGAGTGATTATATTTTTATTTTAAAATAAGAAAGTATCTCTCCCTTTCCAGTCCCAGTAAGAGATGAGACGCATTAACTTGCCTAATATTTTCCATACATATACCACAGATTTTATCAGCCGAGCGCGCTTCAGCAAAAGCCTCCTCCATCGCAGCTTCATGAGCGTCTATACATTCACGTCGATGCTGTGCACGCTGCTCTGTATCTGTTGGATGTAAGCATGGCACATTACAAAGATCGCACACATCACCATGTACGAACTGACACTTGTCACCTTTGTCACAATCTCCGGTTTCAAAATACGGACATAATGGTAGCGAACCTAATGAACTGAAACCATCTCTATATTCCTTCATTTTATTTTATAAACAAATAATTCAGTCTTTGCAAAATATTTTAGTTCACCTACCCTGAAGCGACGGTATTAACTTCGCTTAATGCCAACACTTTCCAAGAAGGAATGAATTCGGTTGCATCCACGGAAAACACATGACCGCTTCGGTTTACTGTTGCTGCTGTTGTTACTCCTTCACTATTACTGCAACCATTTTCAACCACTGGAATGATGAATAATCAAACTATTTCCTATGTTACGCAATCAGTTATTAATGAAGTTCATCAACTGCTCTCTTGGTAAAATCTCACGCACCTTAAACATAACTATTTCTTTCCTATCGTATCTTATTTCTTAGTGAATGTCTGACAATTATAACAATGCATATCCAGATTACTAGCCAATTTTTTGAAACACCGTTGGGATAAAAACTACCTTTGGTTGCGTTAGGACTTCCTGTCGTACGAGCAACGCTTTTCACTGCTTTAACCCCATCCAACGGCGGTCGCTTATGGTCATACCTGAAAACATTTAAACGATTCCTTTGGCGTTTTGGTGGTTTAATGAAAGCATTCTAGCCTCAACCCGATTCAGCTGTAAGAGCTATAAATATATCAGTTGAATTAAGAAACAAATGAAATATTGTACCTGCAAGAAGTACCAAAATCACATTTTCCTATAAGGTAGTAACGGCACGTTCGATCCGGTTTCGAATTACGATCGTGAGAAAACGGACATGAAGCACCTTCGCGACAGATATTATTTGCAAAATACCGACATAAAATTTTACTCGTTAGAGTGGTAGTTGGTGCTAAAAATAAAAAAAAATGTATTTATGCAGAATTCAGCAACAAAACAACTCCCCAATCCCTATACCCTGAACAAATGCATAAATGGTCAAACTTTGCTTAACATGTTTGATACGTAGTGCAGACGAGACGTCGAACTTATATAAAATTTAATGATGAAAACAAATGATAATTAATAACAAACAGCACTAGTATAGTTGTAGAAGCAGTCGACTTTTTCATCTCTCCCCAAATCTATCAACGCTGGGACAACCTACAGAATTTGGAATAAACTCTCGGATTCTCATCTGCAAAAAATTATAAATTGAAAGCTTACCGACAGCCATATACTGGGTGTTCTGTCCCGTTCTTCTGGAAAAAAAAAAAAACATATATTATCGACAATTTCTTGACCATGTGTCACAATATGTGCATGGAATCACCTAATAAATACCCGTGTACCTAGTACTGCAATACGCAGACAAAGCTCACCATTCTCACACAACAAAAAGTCGACCTCATCATTTAATTAATGCATGTGTGCATTGTCCTGAAATGAAGCCAGTACGATCCAGTATTGTCTACCGGATGACTAACTTGCATGCAAATTTAAATTGCCCGCAAATCCTCTAAGACATATCAACTATCACCACGAAGTGCAGCAAAAAAACAATCGAGTCCTTCCCACTACCCAACAACGACACCACCAGCCACCCTGCCTGATATTTCTGTGACGCTGCACGACGGTTAGTAGCCAAATTGCCAGAACACTCCCGCGCTACCAACACGGCCGCGTTGCGAGCACTCCAGTGGCATGCAGCATTGTGTATTGCGTTTTTGGATCGGTGCTTTATTTATTGGGAGCAGTAGCCAAGGCTTGGATCTATCGTACTTAGTGAAGAGAAAAGAAAACGGGGACGACATCCTTATCCTTATAGTTAAGTTGTAGTGCAGTTCACTATTGATGTCCAGTGAAACTGTGGTATTTTCTGATTGTCATCAGTGTTTGGCAACAAACATTTAACTGGTTTTTAAGAGTTTTACTTACCTCTTTCTCTCTGTTTGTGCATTTGGTATTATTAATTACATATTTCTCGGTGTGTGACCACTCTTACATTTTTGTTAATTTCGCCTGAAATACTTCACGGGATGTGGTGGTGGCAGGAACGACAGCTTTTTCAGTTATAGATTTCCCAAAAAGGTTTCTTTCATAACGGAAGTATTTCCGTAGCATTGTCTTTCACCACACATATACACACATACACAATACGAAAGTGAAACCTTAGATCTACTATAATTTCAGTCTTCAGGTAACATCATGCAATAATGACGGGTGCGTCTACAAATCAACTACTTTTACAAACCCCAAACTGAGTTTTCTAGTACTCCCTTTGAATTCATGCTTCTGTTGTAAAACTATAGCAAGTTGTGTTGTTGTAAAACTATAGCAACCTTACATATATTACGAGTTCCGATGTATTACATACAATTATG